CGATCCCAATACGAAGTTCGCGAACATCAGGGATATCCATCGGGCTCAAATCGAAGCGGGTGAAAAGGAGGTTATCACGGCTGAATCCAGCGACTCTGAATGCCCTAGTGAGGCTGGCAGCTGTATTGTAGTGGGTGTGGTTGAGGATCAATAGTTAATAGTAATGAGGAGGTTGGGTTGTGATCCCATCGTTTTTGTGGTGCCAGAAACAGGGGGGTGCCAGGAAGTGGGTATGTTGACTTAACATTTCAGCAGCCCTAATCTGCACCAAACATCAGGTCACCCAATGATGTAATACCCCTTCTGTCACCGGACTTTTCAGAATGTCCTTATTGTCCTTATTAGGCCGATTCTTCTTCAACAAAGCTGGCCGTGATGATTTCTTAGCGAAGCGATTTTCTACCCCAGTTGGCATTACCAGTAGGCCTGCAATGCCAAACAACATGTGCAGTTGCAATAAAACGTTACCAGCGATTCATCATTGTCCCATTATTCAGGAACATGGGTACAGAAGACTTCTGACCTTCCCCGTTGGGCAAGTTATCCGAGCCCAGAATTTGTTGGTCGTTGGTTCATCCATCAACCACATCTCCGGCTCCCTGAATCGCCTTCGGCGATCGGCCTACAGCCATCAACTCTTCCCCGCACCGTTGAATGCCTGGCCACCTCATATACATAAATGGTCACCCGCAGCTCCAAGGAAAGTCCTTAGATTCTTCACCACTTCGTTGTCCGGGTACAGATTTGCAACCCCATCGCCTCCAGAGCTCTTGGACCATGCTCTTCACCGATCCAGTCGTAGTGTCCTGGGCGCTTGTGACCACGTGCCTGCTTGGTTTCTTGCGGGTAAGTTGGATTACCTCGTGCAACATCAGAGAAACCTTCTAACAAACATCTAGCTGTATTCTTTGTGGCTGCGCAACCCTCTCAAGCATATTCCAGGACCATGGTACACACGCATCACCCATTACATACTCAAATGGCAAACCACAATCGGCCGGCGAATGTACTACGTTCACTCCCTCCATGAAAAGTACGGTACCGTTGTACGGATCTCGCCGTATCAGGTCGCAATTTCAGATCCCGACGGCTTCGTAGCGATCCATCGCATTGGTTCTGGCTTCCTAAAATCGCCATGGTATGAGGAGTTCGTTGGAGATACAGGCATTGGAATTGGTGTCTTTGCTACAGTAGACCCAGTGAGGCACGGAGTGATGCGTAGGCTTTTCTCTCGCGCCTTTTCTACCACCAGCCTTCGACAGAACTGCGAGGAAGTTGTGAGGGAGAAGGTTGCGAAGGCGATTCACAGGATCGAGGGCGAGGCTACCCACGGATCCTGCGATATACTTCATTGGTCGATGCTCATGACTTCAGATGTGATTGGCCAACTAGCTTTTGGTGAATCCTTCGAGCTACTAGAATCTGGCAAGGTACGTCAACTGTTAGTGTTGCTGTACCATTACTTCTTCATCGAGTGTCACATGCTGCAGTTGAAATCTAGTAGCTGACCACAGGAATAAACAGAAAAACGAGTACATCGACACGTTTCAATTGGTCGGGATTGGGAGTTATTTGAAGCACGAGCTTCCGTGGCTCTATGCAATCTCTCATTACATCCCACTCAAGCCGCTTCGACGAATGCTCAACGCAGGAAACTCGATCCGCGAATACGGCGGTCGAGCTGTTGAAAATTTGAAGAGACATCGCGACAATAAGTCAAACCTCTTCGCTACTGCTTTAGCCGAGTGCGATGCCGGAGACAAAGCCGAGCTTACGGAAGATTACATCCAAAGCGAGGCGTCTAATCTGATCTTTGCCGGCGCAGATACGACGGCGGGGACTCTGACGTACCTTGTTTGGGCTGTCTTGAGAAGGCCTGAGCTTCAAGCTCGGCTTGAAGCGGAAGTCGCTGCGGTTGACGATATCAACATTTTCAACGATGCTTTCCTTGAGAAGCTACCTCTTCTTAACTCTGTCATCGATGAAACTCTTCGCCTCTACGGCAGCATTCCGGCCAACTTGCCGCGAGTTGTTCCATCCAAAGGCGCCAAGTTCGGAGACTATAAAATTCCTGGAGGCTTAGAAGTTGAGACTCAGGCTTATACTCTTCATCGGGACGAAAATGTCTATCCCAACGCACTCAAGTAAGTTGTTGGTCCTCGGAAGCAAGATCAGCCTTCTAATCTTATTTCAGATTTGACGAGTCACGATGGATGGACCCCAAGATGCTCACGCCACACCAGAAAAGCAGTTTCTGTCCTTTTGGTGCCGGTGCACGAGTCTGTATCGGTCAGCACCTCGCTCGAATGGAAATCCGTATGGGGGCTGCTGTATTGTTCAAACAGTGCCCTGGCCTCAAGTTATCTAGCAACATGACAGACTCTATGATGGAGATGGAAAACTTCTTTGTCGTTGCGCCCGTCGGGCGTCGTTGCGACGTCACTCTTCAATAATTCTTTTCTCTAAATAGGTAAAGCTTTTGTGAGAAGAGAATCACCTGGAAGGCTCTGTCACACAGTGACTGTACAATATATTGATTTCCCTTCATGCCTTCGACGCTGCCTCGTGTAACTAGCTTCCAAACTATTCCAACTCTTTCACTCGCTTTTCCATCACAGTCAACTTCGCGCAATATTCAGCTCACGGTACTCTTTGGAAACCATCGGCAGATCCAAGTTGGCAATGCTTGGCTGTATATATCTCTAACAGTGACTGTATTTGTTCTTGGTACAAAGTACTATGCTGATACTAACTAAACAGCGCGAATTAAGGGAATCCTCAACATCTACTAGTACACAGCCTCAGAGCCCTGTTGTTTTTGAATGATTAACAAAGCTAAACCCACGGTTGCAGCTAAGTCATTTTATAACCTCCCTCGTCCTTGCATCATTGACCGAATCCCCTCCAGGTTCCTCGCGTTACTGGCTGAAAGACATACTAGCTGGAGTACAGGTTGGTGTGTTGCCTGTGCTACCCTTATTGGATGGCAGCGTTTGAATTGCTCTACTCTAGCTGGGCATACCAGGTACCATCTAGACGAGGGAGAACGATGCAGCCGGCGCCGGTCGTAGGGGTCGGGCTGAGACTCATTCCGGTAGCGCGACCGATCAGGACCCTGATGGTCTCCCTAACCGTGCCGGTGATAGTGTCTTGGTAGTTGCTGAAGATGATGGCTGCGCCAAACAGCTGAGATCGGTTGGTAATCTGGTATCTAAGCTGGCGGTTTCGGGTGGTCGTAGACGAAAAGTCGATGATGGCACGAACGTTACGGTTCGGGTTCCACTCGATAGAGCGGCGGGCGTCGAGATCACCCTGGATATCTCGGCGGTTGTCTCGGTTGATTCTGAGAACCGGGAGGATGTGGGTGAAGCAGCCCTGGCGGGCTTCAAGGGGGGATGAGTCGAGAGGGGCGACCTCGCGGACATCCATGTTAACAGCTCCAATGGCTGAGTTGTCAGGGGGGCTAAGAGCTGTGGAAAAGACAGAAGTGGCCAAAGTGGCAATGGTGAAGAGAGCGGTAGAGAACTTCATTGTGAGAGTTTGTGGATGTCTTGTACAAGAATGGTTTGGGTAAATGAAATGTCGGGAGGAGCGAGCTCAGTAGAAAAAGAAGAGATAGTAGTCTGAATCTTCGGTGTCTGGAGATGTCTTCCAATCTGAACAATTACGCCGGTATAATCGAGACCTTTTATAGAGATTGAGAACTCATGATGGAAACCAATATCAATCTTACAGCCGTGGGCAATGTGTTTGAGTTCGATTTCATCCTTGGCATTGCAGCTCACAGTGGCCAGAACATTGTTCGGCATTCTGAGCCAAATTCTCCAAATAGTGATCATGAAGTTATTCGGAGTAGTCGGAGGACTCCATTGAGTCTAGCAGTTGACATGAGTCTACGAAGCTTTAGGTTCCCGAATAAGCAAAAGACCCATTCAGCGTAACGGATCCGCCTAACGCCTAAGTCGAGGCTGTGAAACTCTAATCCCCCTCCCCCTCCCCCCCGGACACAGCGGACACGGCGACTTTCAAAAGCGAGGTAATCTCGCAAATCTTTAGTGTAAAGTCAGACTGATGGAGAATCGTGACAAACGTGCACGAGTCTAGGCTCGATAGGGCTTCGTAAAGGCAAACAAATGGAATAGGCTACCTGAAGCTAGTCGAATCCTAAGTTCTTGGCAATCCGACTTCTAGTTTATTTGCTCTGTTTTAAATGAGGACTATTTCAGACTTCACAAGAGCCTAGCACGTGGACGAGTCCTCCGATTTAAACCTTCGTATCTTAATCTTGATGGAAACGGTTTCCACCTTTCGGATTTCTTGACCAAATAGGCACTCAGACTCGGAGGCTGGTAGCTCTTCAGTACCTTAGTCCACTCCTCAATAGGAGCCATCTTAGACTTCACGACATCCTTGATTGGATCAACCCCAGTGGACTAGTTCATTCTTTTCACTTGGTTCTAAACGAATCCGAAGTGCTGATAACCGGCCAAGTTCCTCGGACTTGGAAGGCTAAATCGACAGACAAGGAATCTGGACGTAGAGCGAGGAGAGCGAACTTGCTTTGGGATTCCTTGGAGGGAAAATGTTCCTGGTCGTAAGGCCCCGTCTCTTGAGCTAACTCCGGTACAATACGCGGACAGGTCGCGCAAACCTGGCAGGCTGGCCCAACTTTAATTAATTCTGAAAGCGCTTCATTGACCTAGGAGTGATGTGCTGCGCTGCATTATAATACAATGGGAATATGAGGACAGAAAAGAGCAATAAGAAGGCGGTGGTGATGTCCGTCTACAGCGGCCGTTCCTGATGACACCCAACGTGGGTACTTAATGTCGGCTACGCCCACCAACTTTCTCCGTCGACGTCTCATATCTCAGACACACTACGCAGTTCAATATATGATAATTGGACTTAGTGCTGGCCGAAAGTCCTGCCCTACTGACACGTATACCAGCGGTACCCAGAATAAGTTCCTGCTTTAGTATTTCTGAATGGATAGCCATTAGACACTCAACATCAGGAGCTGGTGATCCTTCCTAGACCTTCGCTTTAAGCCTTCAAAGCGACTGCCTTGCGGTGAATATGTCACTGAATGATGGACGCGGACATGGCTACGATAATATGAAAGCTACTAAAGAGTCAACTAATTGGTCCCAGTCTAGATGAATGTCTAGGAGCGGCGACCAAATGTTTCCAAATTGTCAACTATGATGGTAATCAACCGCCGGCGGCAAGTTACCACAGCCAGTATCATGATCGGGCCATCTGACCACGTTCCTTTAAAAGATGCCGGCCGGTCACCGATCCAGACCCCATCAAGGTACATCCATAACTGGTCTTTTCAAGCAAAAGACCAGTAGTGAAATTAGATATGAACTATCTTCATCATGACTTAACAGAGAAGACAAGTCCATAGCCTCAGAGTAGGCGGAACTGAGAATACCCCCAGTCCGTGACCATTCCGCTACGGTCAACCAATCTGGCCTTCATCGGCTTGGTATGAGAGTAATTCATGTCGACCCAAGCTCGTTACTCAAACTGCAGACAATGAAGAGAATTCCAATCTTTTTGTTGTCACTTGTTTCCCAGATGATCATCACCTCCTCTCGGTGCCTTGTATATCCAGCTACAGACTTCGCCATGAAATCCCACAGACCGTATAATGGCGAGAGTCTTGGGCAATCCGCGAATGTCCACGAGAATAGCCACTCCTAAGAACTGCCACCAAAGCCTCCAACTCGAATAACAGCCTCGCACCTTGCTGGCCCCACGGCTTGATATTGGGAAAACTCTGCTCTGTGAAGATCCCCGCCCTTTTACCCTCCTGTTCTTCCATTGAAAGCCATGCCAACCCTTCTTCCATCAACGATTATACACCATGTCAACTCCACCAACGCACTCGACCAAGCCCATCGTTGGCCAAACGGTGGTCTCCAAACCCTCAATCGAAGATCCTTCCAACACCTCCACTCGACGCACCGAGACCGAAGAAGTACCCATAGCCACCGATGGCCTTCACCGCCGCCTCAGTAACCGCCAGGTCCAGCTCGTCGCCATCGGGGGCTCCATAGGCACGGCCGTCTTCGTCAGTATGGGCGGCGCCCTTCAGCGTTCCGGGCCGGGCAGCCTTCTTCTGGCGTTTGTCATCTATACGATCATTCTCTCGCTGTGCAATAACTGCATGGCCGAGATGTCTGTTTACATGCCCGTAAGCGGCGGGTTTGTCCGACTTGCGGGGAAATGGGTCGACGATGCGTTCGGCTTTATGGCCGGCTGGAACTTCTTCTTCTACCAAGTCTTTCTGATACCGTTCGAGATTGTGGCTTTGACGCTGGTGGTTTCGTACTGGAACGACAAAATTCCAGTCTACGCGATTTGCGTTGGGTGCATTATACTCTATGGGTATGTTTCCTCGGTGCTCGCTGTGGTCCTTCTCTGTGTCAGGAAGAGCCCGAGGCTGTAGAGCAAAGTTAACATTATTGCTTAGCCTCATTAACGTTTTTGCCGTCGGCGTTTACGGAGAAGCCGAATTCTACCTCTCCGGCGGCAAAGTCATTCTGCTCGCGATGCTTCTGGCTTTTACTCTAATCACTATGGCGGGAGGTAACCCGCAGCACGACGCCTACGGCTTCCGAGCCTGGTCCGCCGGTTACTTTGCCGAATACGTCAGCACCGGGCCCCTCGGGAAATTCGAAGGCTTCCTGTCCGCCCTTTGGACCGCATCCTTCACCTGCGTCGGACCCGAATACGTCTCAATGATGGCCGCCGAAGCCAAACATCCTCGTATTTACGTGAAGACGGCCTTCAAAGCAGTCTACTGGCGCATCTGGATCTTCTTTGTTGGGAGCGCCCTGGCCGCTGGGATCGTCGTCAGTCATAAGGATCCGACTCTCGTCGCGATTTACACGGGAAAAGGGGGCTCCACTGGCAGCGCGGCTGCATCGCCTTATATCATCGCGATGGGCAACCTCGGCATCGGTATCCTGCCTCACGTTGTTACTTTCTTCTTGGCTACCACCATTTTCTCGGCCGGCAGCGCCTATACTTATTGTTCTACAAGAACGCTCTATGGTCTGGCACTCGAGGGGAGGGCCCCGCGCTTCCTGACCAAGACGACGAAGAAGGGGGCCCCGATTTACTGCCTTACCGTGGTCATGGCCTTTCCTCTCTTCTCGTTGTTGCAGCTCTCGAGCTCGTCGGCAAAGGTACTCGACTGGCTGATTTCGCTGACAACCGCGGCAACTATCATTGACTACATCGTCATTTGCGTCACATACAACTGCTTTCACAGGGCCTGCAAGACGCAAAACTTTGACCGCTCTCGTCTCCCTTACATCGGTCGGTTTCAGCCGTATAGCGCGTACATTGGCCTGGTCTGGATGACATGTGTCGTGATTTGCTACGGCTACCGGTCACTCAGTCCGTTTGACCCAGCTTCTTTCTTCATACATTACACGATGGTTCTTCTAGCGCCTCTTCTGTTCTGTCTCTGGAAGTGCTACAAGGGTACGAAAACCCTGCGGCCGGACGAGGTCGACCTCGTGTGGGATGCCCCTCGAATAACCGCGTACGAGGAGCTGCTGAGCGAGGTTGATCCTCCCATCGGATTCCTACAAGATATAGCCAACCACTTCTCGGTCAAGAGGCTTATCAAAAGACGTGATGCCACCGCCGTAGTGTGAAGCAAAGCAGCTCTTGACAACCAAGCACACCGCCACACTCCGCCCACTACATTGACAGGGTATACCACAGCCCTCCGGCAACAGCAGCAGCGCCGACAAGCCACGGCGCAAAACGAGCACCGGCTTCCAGAATTGTTCTTTTTTGCTTGTCAAAGATCTTGCTTCTGAGCGCTGCAGCTTCGTTCCCATGCGGAAACGGCATGTCCGGCACTGGCAGGTCGAGGAACTCGCACAAGGGACCCCAGCCCTCCCCGAGCTTGTACACAAGCAACCTCTCCTTGGGGACCGTCGACATGATGTACTTGTGGTGGCGCTCATAGACCTCGCCGAGCTTCAATTCCAGGTCGGGAACGTCGCTTGCTCCCACCCAACCCAGCATCATCTTCTGGATATTCCCCGCGCTGTCTGCGCCCATCATGGGCTCGACGTAGTCACGGATGAAACACGTCAGGGGCCCAAAGATGCCAGAGATGACCTCCTTCATCGATACGCGCCACTTTTCGTAGTCCCGGATGACGAGAACGACCTTCGCTTCAGGATAGGCATCGATGAGCGATGGGGTGAAGGGGGCCGCGATATCGGTGATTCCTTCGCAGGGTCCAAAGATGTGGTCCCAGTCGGCGGTGGTCATGCCCTTGCCGGTGTATGAGGGCAATGTCGGGAATAGGGCGTCGGAGGCACGGCCGAAAAAGCGCCAGTCATCGGGGCTGTCGATGGCATTGAGGCCGTGGTAGACGTCCTTGTAACCCAGCTCGGTGAGGGCGAGCATCATGGAGTAGGACCCCGTGCGAGGGAGCCCGACGCTGAGGACTTTGGTGGGGCGAGAGGGAGCCATCGTGACGGGTTGACTCAGTGTCGATGCCTCGAAAGCTGGTTCACGATATGTCTACACACGGTACCAGTCTCTTCTCACATAGAAGTGTCTGGTGAACATTAGTGGCAATGGGACGTCAGTCGATTATCTTAGTGAAGTTTGACTAAATAAACATGTCAGCATGAGCGACATTCGAAAGCTGCCTAGCCCACATCTTCACCCTTGTTGATCTAACTGCTTCGCGAATTAGATGACTCGGGTGCCCACCGCTAGCTCAATTAACCGATTCTGCCGTATACATCCCTGACCGGGACAAGGAAAGACCGACAGGCATCCATTCTAGGGTACCTGGATTGCTGTCATTGTTGAATCCATAAATCGATCTCGAAGATGAGGATGTGATCACCAAGGTCGAGTAACATTTTCTGAGATTTAAGTCAAGACACTGGCCTCTGAAGCATCAACACACTTTCAGTATTTTCCGTTCAAAATCGCTCATTGACATTCGGATCCACTGTTTGGCTATTCGAACCCTCGACAGAAGTATTCCTTCAAAGGTCCAACTTTCCGCACACGCCAATCCTGACTCTCATCATTCCTTCGCATCCTCTCCCTCACCAGCCAGCGCCTGCACAACAGCCTGCAACGCAGCCCGATCCGCGCCCCGAATCTTGTCGACGCGGCCATCCTCAGTGAACACAACCGACTGACGAGGCGTCACTCCCTTGGCAGCCACACCCGTAGGCTTTCCCTTCTGGAAGAACATGAACGTCGGCATAGCAGTGACGCCGTAGCGGCCAGCGACGCTGTTGACGTGGTCGACGTTGACCTTGGCGAACGCGAGCTTCCCCTCCGCGGCGTGCTTGTCGGCCAGACCGGAGAAGACGGGCGCGATGGCGCGGCAGGGCGGGCACCAGTCGGCGTAGAAGTCGACGACGACGTTGGTGGTGGAGGCGAGGAGGGCGTCTAGCTCGCCGGCGCTGGCGACTTTGTAGACTTTGCCTGATGTCTCGGGGATGGGCGAGCGGTCTGCGAATAGTGTCTTTATAGAGTTGATTAGTTAGCAGCACGGCACTCACATTTGAGGTATCGTTTAGGGAGGATAGCCATGGACATCTCATGAAGAGGGGTGAGGCAGCGGCTCCGTCGTGAGGCCTGCTGTGGGGTACGTACTTTTGCGAGCATGTAAATGGCAAAAGCCAGGAACATCCATGAGAGCGTGTCCATCTTGTCGCTCAATGCAATGGACTTCTATGATGAGAGCAACTGTTGTGCGGACATTCGCGCGAACATCGAATGTTGCAGAGCACAAGGAGAAAGCTCGATTGATCCGACCTTGAGCTGTGGAAGCCAACCGGGCTTTATCCGGCGGAGCTTTGTCAGCAGCGACCCGTGCATGGGTAAGGTGGGTGGCGCGCAACGTCAGCAGGTATTAATATCCAGGCGTGCCAGGTACCCTAGAGGAGAAGATTCAGTATGACACGTCGTGTTGAAGCAATACCAGAATCCAGATAGACCCAACATCAACTCCGAAACATGATAATTGCTTCGTCCAGGTATAGATATCTCGAGATAAATGTTTCTCCCGGAACCGTCATGTTCATTCGATAGACAACTTCATATTTGAAAATAATTGGTGCACATTCTGGTAAGTCAACATACCCACTTCCTGGCACCCCCCTGTTTCTGGCACCACAAAAACGATGGGATCACAACCCAACCTCCTCATTACTATTAACTATTGATCCTCAACCACACCCACTACAATACAGCTGCCAGCCTCACTAGGGCATTCAGAGTCGCTGGATTCAGCCGTGATAACCTCCTTTTCACCCGCTTCGATTTGAGCCCGATGGATATCCCTGATGTTCGCGAACTTCGTATTGGGATCG